ATGGTGGCTCAGAAAATGAATCCCTTTGTTTGTTTGTTTATTGGAAGTGATGGAATTTAAGTTTCATTTGCAAAGTCGTTGTTACAAATCTTTGTTTTAAATGTGAACACACAGAAATAGTCTAAAATTAGAACGTTTAAAGTTTTAAGAGCAGTGTTAACTTGGTTGCAATACAGATAGTAAAATATAGGACAATATAGCAGACATCAACTACAAATCAGACCAGTACATTAAAATATAAACCTTTTTAATTCCCACTAATGGCTCAGCAACTCCTACATATTATTGCATTTTGGAGGTTACTATGTACGTGCATAAACAGGACCTATTATAATCTCTGCTGAAGTGCTGCACATCTCAAATGAGAAACTACAGCTTCTGTTAAATTTAATTATTTCCCCCAGCATAGACTATAGGTTGTTACAGAACAAGAGCTGCTTTCTTAAATTTAATTACATCCCACTGTGGCTTACATGGTGAAAGTGAGACTATAAAACAAGTGCAGTTAATAATGGAGAAGGTTTCAAAATTAAAATATGTGGTAGAAGACGAAAGTGATATATTATACCAAATGACAGACATTGAATCAGGAAATAGGAAAAATATTTGATAGAGGTAAACCTGGTTATGTTACAGAAGAGAAACAGCTAGCTACAAATGCCTTGAAAAAACATTGTAGGTCTAGTCTTTTGATGGTATAAGTTAGGTAACTTGTATTGAAACTGCACCAGCTAAAGATCTGGCCCATGCTCTTTAAAAGAATTGCACAAAGAAGAAAGTCAAATCAAATGTTAATCTGTCAATATGAATAAGGAAAATATGTTACTAATAGATAACACTGAGAAAATCTGATGTTAATGCAATAGAATTACTGCAAGGAGAGTAATAAAGGAAATAGAATATTGGAACTGGTATTTCACAGCCAGGAAAAGCAAACTGATAACTGTCTCTAATGAAAGAAAAAGAGGGCACACTTGAGTACTTTTTCTTCAAGGAGATTTACATGGAATTTGGGATGTTTTCTCAAAACTTTAGGCAAAACAGAGGTGGAAAAGTGCTTTATTGAAAACGAGTTGAGAGAGGATATAATGCTTAAACTCCCAGAGGACTTGAAGGAAATTTTGGAAGACCTAATATCACCTTGAAGGGAAATGGACGTGGAGTTAAAATCTTTATTGTTAGATGAAGCAACAGATCACAATGGGCTTTGCGAGTTCCATAGCAAGTTAAAAAGCGATCTACTTGATTAAAGAACCAGTCAGGATTTCTTGAATGCAGGACTGTGGGATTGTTCCTACAGAGAATAGCAATTTCTCTGCGTATCAGTGATAATGCACAAATCATATGCAGGATTCCTTTGGACTGGAAGAATAGGAGTCCTGGTGTGGAATTCTGATGGACATGTGGAAAATATCCCTTTTTGTTAGAGACAAATAATCAACTGTGATCCCTGTGGATGAGGTTTATGTTGCATCTGCAAGCATTAGGACTGCTCAGTTTTATGGCTCTGGGAGCTTAAAAAGTGCCCCAGAAAAAGAATATATTTTCTGGGTTTTTTAAAGATTTTTTTTTCTCTTGCCTTTCTGTGCTAGAAGTCTGTACAAATAACTGACAGATCACACAGGAGAAACTGTGAAGCTGACCACACACCGAGCATTTGTTAAATGCACAGAATTCAATAACAGAGAAAAATGTTTCTGTAACTGTTTCCAATTATAGTAATCTTAGGGATTACTTGTAAAAATAGGAAGCACAAAATTTTCAGATGGAAATCTTAATTTAAGTCACTGTTGTCTCTTTTAGCTAGAACATACTTACTTGATTAAGAAAAACCTAGTATGTTTACATAAGAATGGAACATGCAATATTTGCATAATTCTGTGCAGTATAGGTACTAGCATATTAAAACTGTCTCAACTAATCTTTAATATTCCTCAATTGTGTTTCAGGATGGACAGCCTTTATTTACACAATATCTGGCAATGTGTATGTTGGTAAGTTGGTGACTCTTTTATTTAAGTTGTTCATGGAAAGAATTTAAAGTCTCAAAAATGTCTCAGCAAAAGAAGGGAAGATCTGACCCCAAAATATTTAAGAAGCTGGTCTTAAAAACCTAAAAATATCAAAACATAGTGATCTGTTAGTGCAGTTGTCAACTATGCTCTTCTTGTAAGCATCAAGATTTGGGCTAGATGATATTTATGGTCCCTCTCAGCCCTATGATTGATACTGTTGATACTCTCTTGTTTTAACCAAAAATCTTGTCAAGAACAAATTAAGAGATGATACTTAATTTTTCAATATTCCTCTTTAGATCCATTTAACAATTTCATCCAATGGATATAGACCCCATTCCT